ACGCAACTGAAGTTAACCTCGCTCGTCGGATCCGCAGGATGAAGCGCTGCGCGTTCATCTTCCTTCTCGTGCGCCGCTGTTTGTCTCGGATCCCATCTTGATGAGTTGTTTTTTTTTTTTTTACCTAGAAAACAATATCGTTAGGCGTTTTACTAACTCCCAATGGAGCAAGATTCCCACTCGTAATAGGTTTAGCATGTGGCCCGGTACCGTTTCAGTATCCTTGGGATCGCATTGTTTAGAGGAAGCCTTGACTGCGTTTGAATAGCACGCAGGGTGCCAGGAGGAAGGCTGGAGGAAAAGGAAACGGGAGAGCTGCTCCTGGTTTGTCTCGCATTCACATCAGATGACAGGAAGTGGAAACTGAGGCTGGCTGGAGCAACCTGTGGGGGCCACATCTGTGTGAGCGGCTCAGGGCACCGTGCAGCCCAGAGAGCCGACCTAGGGAAGCGTATGAACGTGGGGTTTTCCTCAGTTGCCCCCTGCTCTCGAAGGAGAGTTTCCCCTTTGGTTCTTCTCTGACCTTACTCGTGGAACCGCTTGTCAAATGTCCTGAGCCCGACTAGGAAGAAACAGCAGACTCGGAGGCACGTGCTCGTATTAACAGCGCTGTTTGACCCTTGCAGGACTGCAATTCTGGCCTTCCCTCGAGAGCCGGAGTGCTACCCCGTCGTCCTAGAAATGGGGCTAAGAGTGGTTTGAGGATAAAGGGTGTCCTATGTATAAAAGATGTCCTATGTATAATCAGCTGGGGATCTCTTCCTGATTTACTGTATTTTCAAGATCTTTACCAACTCCTATTCTGCCAGGAAAATAGAAATAAATAGTTACTACTTGACTGAGGGGAATTTCAAAGGGAAAACAAAACCAAAATGTGTTCTCCTTGGCAAGGTAGCTGCATCTATATGGCTTTTGTTACACTGAGAGAGAGTGTTTTCCCCTAGTTCAAATCAGTATAGGCCAAAGACAAAAGATAGTGCTAAAGGAATTCACAGTCTTTATTTTTATGCTGCTGAAGTGGCTACTAAAATGTGACAGGGGTGTAGGTTGTAGCCGTGTTGGTCCAAGGACTTAGGAACCTTGTCTACTAAAATGTGAGACGTTGTCTTAGAAATAAACTGAGGCTCTATCGTATGTATTTTAGAGGCTCTGCAACGTCCATTTCCTAGGTCCAGAGGGTTCAAGAACTGACTTCAGTGTCTTCACGAATTGAGTCTATCCCAAGTGCAATTTTCAAAGGTTTAAATTTTTTTCAGTATTTTAAAAATACGTCCTTGTTTGTACTCTTGTTCCACTGAGCATGGGTAGGATGTTCTCAGGTCCCTCAGAAGAAAGTAGCTTAGGAAATATCACTTCAGTATTTCTTTCCCCTTCCCCCTCCTGCCCCCGAAGGGGTGTACGAAGACTTTTCCGGCAATCGATTACCATCTGCTTGTTCCAGCACGAAGCAGCCTGGCCTGTGTCCACTGCTGGCCTGAAAATGTGTTGCCCCTTCACCCCTTTGAGTGCACATCCTGAATGTCCGCTGACCCGTCTTGGTAGATGACTCGCGTTCCTGGAACTCTCTTGCTCATCTGCTGAAGCTTCAAACATCTTTGCAGACTTCCTTTTGGAAAAATAAAGGGCTGCGTGCACTTGCCAGTCTCTCACCTTCCTGAAGATCCTTGACACATTGGAGGTCCGAGTCAACTACTGAACTTCTGAGTTCATGCACGTGCTGTCTTATTAAGTGCATTTAGGGTTCTTCATGCTTTTCAGTGAAGAATCTCAAAGTGCTCTGCAGAAACTGCCTGAGGTGGAGAGGTGAGCGTTCTTCCCAGCTGAAACAGGCACAGAAAGGAGCTCCAAACTCTGTACAGCCAGTAGGTAGCAGCACGAGGACTCGGGCATCTCAGCTCAATCCCTAAACAGCACCTCTTGGTGCAGGGGAACTCCGGTCAGGTGAGAGACTTTCGAGGTTTCCCTTCAGATCAGCTGACACCATCCTGTGCTGCAATGGAGGGATTCAGCAGAGGTAGAGAGAACATGTAGAACTAGCTTTACCCAGACTAAAGGAACAGCTAAGGAGCAGTCCTCTTATTTTATGTATGTGGCACACCAAACCGCTAAGCAGATTGGCCAGGTGGGAGTTCTTATACTGTGTGCTTGGATTCCGTATTTGCTTAACAAAACCCCGTGATAACACTGGTAAATCTGAGTGTGCCTAACATTTAGGTTTACATTTGAAAGGAAGCTGCTGAAGAACATGAATGTTTATCTGCCTGCACCAGAATTTTATCCCTAGGTTTTGCTTCTGAGTGGCAGAATTTGAGATGTGGTGACCATTTCACCTTTTGTCTCATTGTTTCCCACCTGTAACCTCCAGTGGAAGGTGCCTTATAAATATCTGTGTTGTCTTGTCTCTCCAGATACCACCTCCTCAAACTTCTGCAGAAGTTTGGCAAAGTAAAGCAATTCGACTTCCTCTTCCATAAGTCTGGTGCTCTGGAAGGGCAGCCTAGGGGATACTGTTTTGTCAACTTTGAAACCAAGCAGGTAAGTGTGGTGGGCTTTTCTTCTAAACTGGTGGCTTACCTTGCCTGCCTGTTACTTGGATCCATTTTAGAGATGAGTGAAGGGAGGAAGGAGCTACCTAAAGCCTTGCAAACCCTCCCCCCCGTATGCCAGTCCCACCCAGATGGTGGAATTGTTAGAAGGAGCCAGGGGTCTGGTACCACCCCCTGGGGCTGTTTCCTGAACACCTGCTTTTTGACTCCAGCAAGAATGAGACAACCATGAGGCAGTCTGGGAAGATAGTAAATATAGGTTTGAGTGGTGCACAGTACCGTAATTTGGACTGATGAGGTTTCCTCCCCGCCTCCCTTTCCCCCGGATCTTGGTGCTTCAGACTGGTACAGGCCTTGGGGTTTGTGCCTTTCTCCAGCTGCCACGCAGTTGAGAACCTTCTGGGTTTCTAGCTTGTGCTTTTGAAGTTTGGATGGAAACCTGAGTTCTCTTTGTAGTCTTCTAGCCACAACAGTTGAGTTTGTTGTCTCAAATTAGATTTGTGTAGTTGAAAAGAGCTGCATATACAGTCTTCCTCTGCTCCTGGCTCCCCACTGCTTTTCTGCTTAGGGAGGAATGATCGAGCAGAGAGCTGCAGCAGAGAGGAGCTGATGACAATGGTATTGCAATGAAACTGAACAATCATAGTGGTCTTGCAGTGCAGCAGGCCTTTAGGGTAACTGAACACAGTTCAGGGTAATCAGGACACAGTCATCAGCTCGAACACTGAATGGGTCTCCTGCCTGCCAGATACTGTGCTGCACGGATTCTGGTGGCCTTTGTATTCTGTTCGTCTTATCTTTCTAGCACTAATGTATTAGCAGAATCTGTGCTGGATGCAGCTGAGGTGAGGCTGAGAGAAGTGAAAAGTGAATATAAGTAATGTAAACCTCCCCCAGATGCTGTTCCACGCGTTAGTTTAATTGGAAACTCCCCATACCATTTTGTCTTCTACGTTGCGTGTAATGCATATAGAGGCTAAATGGTCCTGTGGATAGTAACTGAATGGCAGTGTAGATTGCTCCTGTGCTCTTAGTTGGCTGTTCTTGTGAATCATCCAAAGAAGAGAGGTCCTTAAACCTGAGACAGACTCTGACTGGAGACTTAGAATTGTTCTATTTACTGAGCTATCTTCCTGTGCAGGAAGCGGAGCAAGCCATCCAGTGTCTCAATGGCAAGCTGGCTCTCTCCAAGAAGCTGGTGGTGCGGTGGGCACACGCCCAAGTCAAGGTAAACTTCTGATGGCAAACCTGAGTGGCTTATGAACATGTGCAACTGGATGCGAATACTCGCTGTCTGTGTAGGGTTAAAATGAGAAATACTTTAATGACTGCCCTTTTCTGTACTCTACTTCTTCGCTTCAGCATTTACAATGTGTGCACGCTTCCTACGGGACTCTAAACTTTGCTCTTTCTTCCTTATACTGACACAGAGACACTGCAGCACTTTTTTTTGTATATTTTGAACCCTTTTTTTGGACATTCTCTTCTGACGAGCTTTTTCTATTAATGGCTTCCCTTATGACCAAGTGTACATACCAGATATCAAGGATCAATTTTTGATCTTCCTGTGCTGAGCGCTAGCTGCATTTCAGTTGACACTCCAAGAAAGCAGTTGCAGTAAATGCAGGAACATGGGAGCTGGCCCACAGAGTTAGAGCAGTGGTCTATCTAATTTAACATCCTGCCAGGTGTAGAATCTCCATAACAGACACTTAGGGAAATAACTAATCCCTTAGGGAAGTTTTTTCCTAACCCTAATCAGTTTGCGATTTGGCTCAAGGTTTTTGGACAGAAAGGTGTCACTGAAATCCTCTCTTGCTTAGGTTTTCCACTCGGCTTCCTAAAAGGCTGGTGGCAGTATTGCCTTTCGCTGCTGACTTTAAGTGGTTTACTTCATCAGTATGCTGCATATTTAAAATAACCTTTTCCTCCGTTTTGGCACATGAATTTCTGCATTTAATTTCAGGGTTTCACTGTAGAAGATGGTTGCAAATTGTTTAAATTCTCTTTTTTAGCTCCTTGGGTTTCTTGTCCCTTTTTTCTGCAGCTGGGATGTCACATTGTAAATGAAAAGCAATTCTTTTTTATTTTATTCCATTTGGAGCTTGAATTTGTTTAAAATGGCCTTTTGGGAGTGAGACGCTCCTGTGAATGTATGTGGGGTAGCTTGCTTCTAACTTGTATATATGGTTACTTACAGAACTCCCTGCCCTCTGTGCTTGTCGTGAAGTACAGCTGTATTTGTTTGAGTGCTAGATAAGTAGGCACCCTTGTTACAGGAGGCCATGTTGCTTTAATTATCAGCCCTAAGGGCTGAGCGCTCCCCTGAGTCCATGCAGATTCTTGCAAACCCAGTCTCCATTTCTTGAACTCTGAATTCTGAAACTCTTAGCCTGCTACATGCTTCCGGATGCCTGAAAAATGATCAGGCCATAAATGGAATTTCTGTCGGTGCAGCGAGCCTCTTCATGGAGAGGAATCTGCCGAAAAGCCGGGTGCATAAGCAGTGCTGGAGTAGGGCAAATTGCATGCAAAACAACCTAGTTCGGTTTATTGGAACATCTGCAAATCTGTGAATGGAAAGATTTTTTTTTTTTTTTTTAACTGCGTGAGGCTCTTGCGTATCATGATGAGCGTTTGTTTTAGACGGCACTAGCACCCTGCTACATAGTTTTTAAAATGAACAGCCAAGACTTCGGAGAAAACCTTGCCAGATGCTGTCAGTTCGAGCAGCTCTAGCAAAAAAACAAACCTGAAAACACGCCAAGCGAAACAAGGAAGCAGAACAGGCTGCGAGTATTTCAGGAGGCCCGTTGAGACGACAGACTAATAAGCTGCCTTCTGCAGAACGAAGGAGGTTCAGCACAGGTCTTGCATGCGTTACTTGGCCACTGCAGGATATTGTGCAACTGCAGCCAGGCAAAGCGCAGCACGAACACACTTCAGATGCACACAGTGCTTGTACAGAGATCACACCTAGCTAGGCAAATGGCTCTACCATTGAGCCCGACCCTTAAACCTGGCTGAGTCTGAGCCACATTTGGAAGGTTTAGAGTTGCCACTTAGGAGTATAGTATAGGCAGCAAAACAAGTTGTAAAAAATTCCTAACGGTCCAGAATAAAGTACACATGAGCACCCAGCATCATGTTCTTAGCTGACTGCCAAGCTGAAGCAGAACAAATGCTAACGTTGGGTTTCTGCGTGGCTTGACCAAAAGACTTTTGCCTTCCGGAAAAATGTTATATGACATTAATCCAATTTGGAAGTGTTTCTGTTAGCAAATGCTAAGCTTTTCATGTAATAATGTTCACTTAAGCAAAATCATTGCTAATGTACCTTTCTCTACCCAACAGAGATATGATCATAATAAAAATGAGAAAATTCTTCCCATCAGCCTTGAGCCATCTTCCAGCACTGAGCCAACCCAGTCCAACCTAAGGTAGGAACCTGCCCAGTTCAGGTGTGGCCACATCACTCAACCCAGGACCATGACACCCTTTGACATTGCTGGGATTGGAAAGGGCTCAAAATCTCTCTGCTTGCTTGCTCGCAATTGAAAGAATAACTAAGCAGCGTCTTTTTTTAATGGGAAACAATGCAGTAAAAATTTTTTTTTAGAATTTTTGACATGTCAGTTCCACATTTATGGAAACATGGAACCACCAAGATGCTATGCTTAAAAAATGTTGGTCACGTAACCGCATCTAACTCAGGGAGTCCTACGCCTTTTTAAATTGGTTTCAGCAGTATTTTATATCTGTACCAGATTCTAGTGACTGTGCCTCAATGGTCTGCTCCAAGCAATAATTTTAATACCTTATTTTTAGAGGCAATAAAAACTCTCACACCTGTCACTGTAGGAGACTGTTCTGGGTGATAAGAAGGTGTTCTGTTCCTCATAATCTTTCTGGAACAGAAGTGAAAGTGGTAGTGCATAAAATCACTAGATGTTCCTCATCAGGATAGTACATCTTGTCTTGAAGGGAGATTTGGGGTGTGGTGCGAGTGCAAGGCTGAATATATAACATTCAGATGCACAGAATACAGAGAAGGTAGTTTTTGGAGATTTCAAAAATAGATGGGTGAGGAATTAATTCCTAGTCTTTTGCTCTGTCGTCTTTGTGACTGACTCTTGGTTCCTTTGTTTTTTAAGGGAAAGATGGGTAATTCACTGCGTTGTTGTACTAGTTGTTTAACTGGGTAGTAACTAGATTTAGCCACTTCCTGAAAGCAAGAATTTCCTTGGTAGAAAAGTCAACCATGCTAAGATAAACAAAATTGCAAGGGCAGCATAAGTGTTATCTGCTAAGATATTAGATCTGAAGAAGCAAATTGAAGGGGGAAAAGTCTGTATAAAAGGGGTGGGGGGAGTTAAGAAGCTGTGTCCTCTTGACCAGTAATAAATGTCCTAAAAACGTTAAGATGCACTTACAGAACTTTTAAATGTCTAAAGTATCACCTGGACAATAGAGAGCATATAGACTGCTGGCCTAAAACAAAGGACTGGGTGTTGGGACTAGCGGGCCTTTGTCTAAGAAATGTCATGTGGGTCAAGTCCTTAACTTCCTAGATTACCTAAATCACATGCTGCTGTTTAGCTACCTCTTGGGGAAGCTGAAATGTTTAATATTTTCCATACTGGGTTAGGACAGTGTTGGTGAAAAGTTCCTACGAATTTAGGGTGGCAAAGCTGTCCCTTTCGGGGTGGGGGGGTGAAGAGGGGTGAATGCTGTCTTTCACCAGAGTCAGTCTCATCTCTACCTTACTTTCCCCCCTGTCCAGCGTCAGCGCAAAAATAAAAGCAATTGAAGCCAAGCTGAAAATGATGGCAGAGAATCCAGATGCAGAATTTCCAGCGGCACCGGCTTATTCTTACTTCAAACCACCGGATAAAAAAAGGACTACTCCTTACTCCAGAACGGCTTGGAAATCCAGAAGATGATGGTTGTGAATGGATCACAGTAGCAGGAAAACGGGGAATCTTTCAGTGCTTTTGTACTTTGTAGAGTGGGGAGGATACTGACAACTGGGCGCAGTATCACTGTGTAGGGTCCGGTGTTTTATAATATAACATTTTAAGTGTTCCGATAACTGATCCTTATTGCCAGTGTATGTACAGAATGGAATGCCGTCCCAAAAAGATAAGGTTTCATCCAAATTGTGTGGCTAATACTTAGACAATCTACATTGCTTGTCTATATTCATTTGCAAAACCAGAAACTTTGGCCCGTGGGCTGATAGGAAAGCAAATGCAAGGAAAGTTGTATTAAATTCTGGATCTTGCACTTAAGAGCAAATCCAAACGAGTATGCTGCTTTGCTCAAACTTATTTTAAGCAGGGAGGGGGAAATGCTTAGTTTTTTGTTCTGCCTTTTTTTTTTTAATTGAAGCCATCAGTAGCTCACATAGAAAATTTCTTTTTGTCTTAAAACTAATTTTAAAAGAATTTTGCAACCTTTTTAGCAACTATTGATGCAGAATTTATATGCGAGGAAGCAAAATTTTGCACCTTGACTTCTTAACTTTAAAGGTAGATGTAACCACAGGAGAGCAAGGCATTTTTAAGTGTTAAAGCTTCAGAACAGTGGTAGACGTCTGCATTTCTCAGTGAATTGGAACAATCAAACTGCTGTACACCAGTGGATTTCATGCTGTACACTGAAAGTGGCAGCATGGTAGACCATGGGTCCTGAAATCCCACGTTTGGACAGGAGAAGTTCCTGGGGTAACATTATTTTGTTTAAAGTGAATACAGCGGCATATCATGTATGCATAAATATAATCCCTTTTAGCAATCAGTCCATAAACCAGATGTGACAGCGTGAGACTGTAGCACTGTAGCCCCCAAGACATCTGTCAGACACATTACCTCCCACGCAGCCCCAACTGCACTTGTGATTGGTTAGCAAAGCTGCTTGAGTATGTCTGGGCATACTTGAGTGACGGGAGTATGTGGTGTAATGGTGCTACTGAATTCTAGGGATTATCTTTGCTTTAGAAGGCATTTCATTTACATCTCTAATGACCTAGTGCTTCTTAGTGCTTCATTCCAGTTGCTCAGCCCACAGCACATCCTCCTCGCTGCATAGTCTCTGCCGTGTTGAAAGACTTGGAAAAAGGGCCCATAAAACTGCAAATGCTTGGTTCCTTTCTGTATACAATGCTGTGGTATATGCACGTGTAAGCAGGATTTGTAGGGCACCACGTGCTCGCTCCAGGGCAGTAAATGGGTTTTTCCCCTCTCTATTGCCAATGTGTCTACACTCTCACTTGACACTTTCTTTTTTCTTTTTAAATAAGTGTAATATTTTTACCTTGCTAATGAGCTACAAGCAGTTTACCAACACTAATACCTATTACAGCTTCTAAACCAGGCAAGAAAGGAATCTAAACTGTTCAAGATTTCTGTCTAAAACCAACATTTCCCAACTTTAACTATATTTGATGCCTAACAGCACATCGCTTGCAGTACAGCATATACCTGCAGTGCTGCATAGAATGTCCTTTATTCCTCTGAACTGTCTAGAGCTTGCACTTGTCTGATAGAGGCGGTTTTTTTTGAAACCTAAAATGGATCAGTCTTCAGCTGATTTCCCCCCCCCCCACCCCCCTTTAGTGAGGTACTTCCAAAAAGTGACTGCCTCCAGGATTAGCACTGCATCTATTAACCTCCCTTGCAAACGGAGTCCTTGTTCTTGTTTTGTCACATGTACAGGGCATGGGCTGACCTTAGCAATCCTCCAAGGACTTGTACTTCCATTATTGAAAACAAAACTGTCAATTCTGTTTTTTGAAGCTGACTTGAAAAAAGTAGCCCCTGAATTGGAATCGGGCAAACAGCTGTGTTTTCCTTTAACAGCCATCTTTGATATTTATTTGTATTTAAAGTATAATTTGTTGAGGTTCTTTCAGTTCTGTGTGAATAAACAGGTTTAAAATGCATTCTCTTTCTCTGCAATAAAAGCAGTCAGTCCGGATGGTGCACGGCTGGAGTAATAAGCCTTTGCTCAGTCAGCGGATGCTACTTAGATTGTAAATGAGACCATTTTGGAGTATTACAGTGCATTAGAGAAGAGCCTTGGATTCAGTAACGGATTTGCACCTGGGACAATTATAGTGCAAGGCTGTCACTGGGTGTTGTTCCCGTTACTGCTAACTAGTCTTTTAGGGATTGATCCTTTGGGAGTATGGCTTGTGGCAAGGAGCTACCTCTGACTTCAGTGGGACCTGGGCTTGCGTGGCAAATCTCTTCCTTTACAGGTGGGAGGGGAATGCCTCTTGGCCCGTAACTCCTGTAACCATTGCAGAGTGATTCTCCAGCCAAAGTAATGGAGTTGCTTTTGCCCCAAACGACCCTGAAAACTCACATTTTCTTTTTCAATGACAAACTTGTCCCAGCAGCTGTAGAGAAGTACTGTCATTTTCTTTGCTATGATGAAAGGCTTGCAGGAGGATACACGGGTAAGCCTCTGCGTGCCTCTAACAGACTGATCATCTCATTCTGGTGGTCTTTGTACCACCTAATCGCAACAGCAGCACAAATTTATTTGTGTGGATTTCCACCTCGCCCATGGTAGTGACCAAAGACTGCAGGTTGGAGCACAGCGCCAAGGTGGGTTTAAACAAGACAAGAGGGACCGGGAGGGGGGGATGACAAGAAATTCAAGGATTTGAATCTTTCTTTTGGTTCATTTTAGGGCTATTTTTCCCCTCCCACATAAGAGAGCGCAAATGTCCTAGTTGCATTTTGTGTGTCTTCAAAATCTAAGGTTTGATGTAAAGAACGGACCAAAATTCAGGGTCTTCAAAAGCTAGGCTAGACAATAACCCTGCTCCCAAAATGTACTAATCGGTTTTCAGATTGCAGCGTGCTGTCACGACAGGGCTGGTAGCGTGGGACGATGGCATTCCTCTGCCTTCGAGGAAGTCTGGCGAAGAGCGCCCCCCGGGTGCGGCAAAGCCGAGCCTCCGGGTCCCGGCACGGCGGACCAAAAAGCCGCGTCTAGGCTGCCGACGGAAAAGGCACAATCAGTCACTGCAACGGTGTCGATGCTTGCCGACAAGCGAAGCGCAGGCACGAGCAAGGGTGTGCGTTACACGAGCAGGTGGGGAGGGGGCGATTTGGTTAAGAAAGCAGAAAAGTGGCCAAATCAAAGCTCTCGCCTGCGCGAGGTGGGGAATAAAACCGTCACGCGTGATGCGCTGCGCTGCTCTGAAAGGGAGCGAGCCCAGAAACACCTGGCGCTTCGTACCCCCAACACACCGCCCGCGGCCACCCCACCCCGGGGCAGCGCGCGGGGACCCCCAGCAGTCGGCACCCCTCGTGCTCCCTCACCCCCTGGCCTTGATCCCATCCCAGACCCTTCTCCTCGGCGTGGCTCCACCGGCTCACCCACTGCTGCGGCCGCAGGATCCTCCGGTGCCTCGTGCCCCCCCCGCCCCGTGGGCGCCGGACCCCCGCGCGGCCGTGCCCGCTTGCTCCCGGCGGAGGGGAAGGAAGGAAGGAAGGAAGGAA